GGGGGGGAGATACGAGACTGCAGTAATAGATATCGCATTTTGCTGTAGCCATTGTCAGTATTGATCTGCTGGTGACGTTTGGTGCACAGCGACCCTTGAGATGCAGGAGAAACAACTTGCAGGGTGTTGACTTGAGGAGAAAGTAAGGCATTCTTAAAATGGTACGTGTGTATAGGTTTAACTACCCTATCAACGCTGTTAGGATATTTAGAAAGGCATTTAATCTGCAGACTGTAGAACTCTCCAACTTGTTAAATTATGTACATTCCAACTTGTTAAGTGTACACTCCAACTTGTTAAATGCACTCTCCAACTTGTTAAATGCACTCTCCAACTTGTTAAATGTACACTCCAACTTGTTAATTGTACACTCCAACTTGTTAAATGCACTCTCTAATTTGTTAAATGTACACTCCAACTTGTTAAATGTGAGGCATTGTGATGAAATCGAGCGCTCATCAAAATAAAGAAATTTTAAAAATTTGCACTTTTTGGGCCGATGGACACTATTTTTCTTTTCTTTCTTTTTTTTTTTGGCTTATTTCCTTCTATGTCCTTTTAAAAACACATTTCTGTGCGAATTTTACTTTAATAAAAACTTGATTAAATACACAAAAATGTAAATTTTCAGTTTCCAAGAACTCTCAGGTTATGGAAGTTACAAAATTTTGGCGGCCATTTTCTCGCTAATCTTACCTCTGAAGCAAGGCGACTCTGACTTCCTTCATTCGCAAATACTTCGACTTCTAATCTATTCAACATAGACGTATATTTTTTTTTACCTCAAGGAAGACAAATGAACAAGCTTTTAGATGAAACCAATAACCCCGTACGCCAAAAATTGGCTAGCACCTGATGCTACCACGTCGAGGCACTAATGTACGCTTACGGCTCCACCTTGTTGAACGTAGGCTCCAACTTGTTAAATAAATTAATAAAAGTATGAATATAAAACTGACTCTTGATCTGTGACTGTGTCTGTCTGTGTGTCTCCTCAGCTCACTGCGTGGGATGTCGGAACGGCGGGAGATGTATCGCGCCCAACGTGTGTGAGTGTCGTCACGGCTATATCGGACCAAACTGCGAACATGGTGAGTGCATCAGTTTAACAACGACTTCAAGTAAAGTGTATACTTTTGAAGGACTCGTCGTCATTGTAGTGATCATCATCATCATCATCATCATCATCATCATCATCATGTATCATCATCATCATCATCATCATCATCATCATCATCATCATCATCATCATCTCGGACTCGCAACCGTAAGGTCGTGGGTTCGAATCCCGTCAAGGGCCCGACGTTGTGTCCTTGGGAAAGGCACTTACACGAATTTTCCTCACTTCACCCAGGTGGGAATGGGTACCCAGCTATAGACCG